CCATCTTCAATGACCTTTTGCACTACTTTCAATTTCATTCAAAGTCTAACCAAGTCTTTGTCTTGTTTCATTAAATTCCATCGCAAGATGTTAAAGATAATTGACCTATATATGTCACAAACTTGTGATATGGTCTGTCAGCCAGGTTGGCTTGAGCGTTTAACATACTCAGAAGATGTCTATTACCATCGCAATCATCTTATCATTCTAATGACTAATAACAGTTACAGAGACAATGATTAATTAAGATAAACGTGGGAGATGGGTTGAAGACTTTAAACAGAAAGGTTTTGACGCTAGAAAATATGCATTGCTATCACAATAACGTATGAATTATTCAATGGTAAAGCATCGGTTTAGATTTTTCAGAGTGAATAATGGATAGCTATAAAGTTTCTTTTGTGAAGAATTAAAAAAAAAAAAAGAGAGTTCAATTTTCATCAACTAATTACCTTGGGGATTGTCGTGTTGTAAACAATGGAATGGATCAAGGGATTGATTGCTCAGATACTAAATAATTTGACCACTGTATTGAATGGGTTATTAAAGCATGCTATATATAAGATCTATTCAATTTTGAGAAAGAGTTTTTCAGACGAGGCAATCACAGATGGGTGATAAAAAATAAGATCCTCGGATAAATAGAAAGAATAATATTCTAGGTAACAAAACCTAAGAAAAACCCACAGATTTTCCTTTGTATATATATTTAGGGCTTAATTTCATGAACATCTTGTATATGAAAAAGCATTTCAATGGAGGCAAACAAGCGAATTTAAGAATTCCTTCACCATTAATACAAAGATAATAAAACTAAAAATCAAGAAAAGTTGGATAACCTACATTAATCTAGTTTCCTTACAACCTAGTATGAAAAGTTTGTGTATAAAATCATTTCCTTTCAATCTAGTTTTGAGGATTCATCATGCAATAACAATTATGCGTTTTTAACTTCACGGGTGGTTTATAAATCTAGATTTTCAATTCAATTATCATGCCTTTGGATTATCTTACTTTTATAGTTTTGTTGTTTTCATTTCTTGTTGATTAGCTGACAGATTTTGCAATTGAAATTGTGGTATATATCAGGCACTTTTTTAATGAGTGTTAGAATCCCAAATCAAACAAGAAAGACAACATAAAATCTGAAATAAAGCTAAAAATAAAAAAATTGAGGGTCTTTCAGGGCTTTTAATAAAGCAAGATTAACCTATGGAAAGGGTGTGACTGGCTACCCCTGATTGTTGTTAGGGCAAGATTTTCTATGCTGGAAAGGCCAAGTTGCTAGTTGCGGGTTTGCCAATTACTCGTTTACACAAAAAAATTAGCAGGAAAGCATGGCGATTTTGACGTAGACCAAAGCCAATACACAAGAAGATCATGTCAAGCAAAGAAAGATAGAGAATTGTTACCAAATTTATATTTTATTTATGAATATTTTTTTCTAAGATATACAGCTTTTTAAAAAGGTTAGAAACTAACATTTGCAAGGTATAAGAGTTAGAATCCTAAATCAATCCTCCTCCCTCTAAACTTTTCTTTGACAATGGGGATGCTCCAGGATCAAATTTAGTCAAGCCCGCAAATCACGAGTATATTCATGAGAAATTTATTATTTACTTTTTTTAAAGAAATTTCAATATTGTACGATAAAGTAAATCCTATCACCAACATCCAATTCTAAGCAAAACTTTAGTTAGAGTAAAATCAAACGAGGAAATACTTTGTAAGGTTGGGCTGGGAAAAGTCACATGTTCATGGATAATCACCATGCACAACAAAAAAAGCATCATCTCGAAGATGGATAGCAACCATAACAACCATATGAAGAAAAATATTTCAATATATTTTTATATAACTAATCAAGCTTTGCATATGCCCTGCATTCCGATTTAAATCAAGGAATTTGTATCGGGGAAAAAATAAAGTTTGAAGCAGTTCTAGCAGCACGACAAGGAGTCGTAGTTGGCTTATAATTTTCGATAAAAAAAACCCTAGGATGGATTGATGCAAGTCGTAGGTGTGAGAGTGACATCCTATGATAAAAAATTTACCCATTTTAACTGCTTCGGAGCTTCTTGGCGATACGCTGGAGAGTGGACATCATTCATTTGTCCGTTCACATTTGCTTTCTTGCTTCAACATTTTTCACAAACATACCCAGCCACGAAGCCAAACAAGTTTACACTTTGCCCACCAAGTTCTTACACTATCACAGCTCCAATGCACTCGAGTGCCTATAATGTCGACAGCTACAGCCATTGATGCCAAAGTGTCCTCTGACCCCCAGCCCACCAGGGGAGACCTTTTTCTTGGTGTGTCCACTCAGAGAAGTTACAGCAAAGCAACAACAAAATCCAATAATGCTGAGGAAACAACTTGCAATTATTACTCGAAGACAAAATGCTGTGGTTAGATGACGGCTTACTTATCTCGTAGTGCCCGAGTTCATCAATTCTTATCATATGATCTCTCGAGTGTCCATTTTTGTCCGTCGTCCTGGTGC